TCATGCAGGCATGTGGGGAACAAAGGAAGAGAAGGGTCTGTGGTGTGGCCATGCCCCCTGGGGGCCAGTTCCTCACTTACTCTCTCAGTCTCAGTCTGGCAAGCACACGTTCACTATGGTAAACACTTTCAAAAAAATTGAAGAGAATCAGAACAAGGTCTTGGAGGGAAAATGGGGCTTGCCGTAGGAGCTGCAGGGGACTGGAGAAAGAGGTCACATTTTGAGAAATTCAGGAAAGGGCTGCGAGGTAACGTAAGACCAAATGGAAGTTTACGGTGGCTGAAGCCCTGGGGAGCGCTCGAAGTTCCCAAACAGGGAAGTCCTATAACGGGAACTGGAGTCTCAGGGCAGACGGCGCCATGGCCCCCTGTGGCTGCTCTGGTCCGCAGGGACAGAAGGGAGACTGGCTGGGAACTAGGGAAGACAACGATGAACCTGGCATACATCTTAGGAAGTGTTTGTCAGGACCAGCATTTGGCGTAATGGCTATGTCGCTGGACTCCCATGTAGTCCACTGCAGTTTGAGTCCCGGACCTGGTGGCTTAAACTCACGCCGGGTGCATGTGCGTGCATGCCCAAGATCTTGAGAAGAGAGTGGAGGAGAAAAGACTGCAGTGTGGCCACTCCCCCCCACCCCCCCAGGGTGATTTCTTGCTTTCTGTCTCTCTGGTGAGTGCACGTGCCCTATAGCAAAAAACTCTTAAAAAAAAAAAAGAAAGAAAGAAAGAAAGAAAGAAAGAAAAAGTTTGTTGAGTGTTTTGAGATCTATAGATTCCCTCTCTGAGAGCCAGGACATGGTGTGGAGGTTAAGGCACTGGATCCCACATGGCCAACTGAACAGTTCAAGTCCTGGACCTGGCAGCTGGAAAAACATGTTGGGTGCATGTGCATGCCCAAAATGTGAAGAGAAAAACGGAGGAGAAGGGACTGTGGTAGAGAGGCCATTTCCCCTGGGTTGTGGGTAGGGGCTACCTTCTTGCTCTCTGACTCCACAGTGCACAAGCCAGCGAGGAAAAAAAGTCCCTGTCTGCAGTGCCGGGCATGGAGCAGGCTGGGGAGTGAGAGCCTGGTGCCGCTCTGTTCCCTGTGTGCTCCTGGCTGGCCCCCCAGACCCTGGCATGATGAAGCAGCCTGCACCCCCGGCATGGCAGCCGGTCCGCGGGAGGTGTTCCCTTCGGGACTGCTGAGACTGTTCCCCGTTATGCTGGGGATGTTGATGAAATTGCAAGCTTTCTCTCTCTCTCTCTCTCTCTCTCTCTCTTTTTTTTTTTTTTTTTTTTTTTTTTTTTTTTTTTCCCATGGGCAGGTACACTCGATGAAGAGAGAAAGAGACAGAGAGAGGAAAAATAAGAAATCACACCCCCAGGGGAGATGCCCACACACGTGGGCAGCGTGATTTTCAAGTTGCCAGGTCAGATACTCGAACCGTAGTCAGCCATGTGGGAATCCAGCACCTTAATCTCCGCGCCACCTGCTGGCCCCATACGTGTATTTTAAAATTACATTCCTAGTGGTACCCGCTGGGTGACGGAGAGGCGACCTTGGAAAGGAGTTTGTTCATTTGTCTAGGCTCTCGTTGCTTTGGGTGGGTTTCTAGGAGCGAGGACACCTGGGGCAGGTGTGGCGTAATGCCGTCCCGTGCGACTCCTGAAGCTCGAGTCCTGGGCTGTGGGGAGGCAGGCTTGTCCCGGGCGTGGCTGCCACGGCAGGCACCGCTCTGAACCCCGGGGAGCACGGTAACACCTTCAGGACACAGAGGCAGGGTCCAGCTCGTTTCTCTGGGCTGGACGCAGAGAATGGCGACTGAGTCCTAGCAGAAAGAAGCAGCCTGCGCCCCTGCCTTCAGGTGACCCCTCTGCTGTGGTGGCCAGGAGGGGCAGAGCAGTCTTTTTTTTTTTTTGCAGAGGTTTTTTTCGCTATCGTGCGCGTGCGCTCGCCAGACAGACAGAGAGAGACAGAGAGACAGAAAGCGAAAAATCACTCCCCAGGGGGGATGGCCACGCTGCAATCCCTTCTCCTCCATTCTCCTCTCGGGATCTTGGGCACACACGCACACGCGTCCGGCGTGAGTTTTAAACCATTGGGTCCAGGACACTAACCATGGTCGGCTATGTGGGAGTCCAGCGACATAGCCATTACGCTAACTGCTGGCCCCCAGGGCAGAGCAGTCTTGCTGAGCAGCCTCCGAGGTGCCACCGTGGACCTAGGTGTGGTCAGGTCCCACAGGCCCCAAGAACTTTATCTATCACCCCTTGCATTCTTTTCTTTTTAGGGGGGGAAACGTTTATTTAATTTGATTTGTTATTATTTTTTAAATTTGCTAAAAGACATGTATGCTCACCAGAGAGAGAAAAAGAGAGAGAAAGTGAGTGACAAAGCAAGCCACCAAATCTGGGATTCAAACTGTGGTCAACCACATGGGAGTCTAGCACCTTAAACACCATGCCACCTGATGGCCTACCCCTTGCAGTCTTGATTTTTTTAAAAAAGAATTACCTATTCACTTTTATTTAAATTAAAATAATTAGAATGATTATTTTTAATTTGACCAGAGAGAGAGAGAAGGAAAGTGAGGAAACAAGCCACCAGGTCCGGGACTTGAACCACAGTCGACCAACGTGCGGATCCAGCGCCTCCACCACCCTGCTACCTGCTGGCCCACTTCCTTGATTCTTGTCCCTGCGTTACTTTTCCTCATGGTGTCCACTGGCCCTCGCTCTCCCGCGTCTGTCTGTGCCCTGCTGGCTCTGAGCAGACCACGCACTCTCTGTGTCACTGTAGGGAGAGCTGACTGAGGGAGACGGTCAGTGGACGCCCCTCCGACCAGGCCACCCTGGCCCTCTGCCCAGGTCCCCACTGAGAATGTGCGTCTTCCCCTCCCCCACATCCCGGTCACTAAGAGACCCTGGGTCCCACAGAGTCACCACTGTGCTTGAAATGAGGCTCATCTCAGGGAGGGGAGGCTGGTCCTCTGTGGAAGTCGGGGTACCTAGCCGACCTTTGTCCCGACACCAGGGGAGGGCCTGCTGTAAGCTCCAGGCTGGGAGCGTGTGCGTGCATGCCCAAGATCCCAGGAGAATGAAGGAGGAGGGATTGTGGCAAGGCCCCCCCCAGGTGATTTCTCACTTTCTCTCTGTCTCCTTGGAGCCCACTTGCCCTCTAGCAAAAATCTCCCTTAAAAAAAAGAAAGCTACCCACACTAATGAAGCTGATGGCCAGGACAAGCGGCTCAGTTCTGTGGCCGCAGAGGGTTATCTGAGCTGACCGCCAGGATGGGGCACCCAGAACTGTGTGTGTGTGTGTGTGTGTGTGTGTTCCTTCTGGGGCCACGTGTCGGGAAGGCCTGGGGGCGGCCAGACCTCCCTGCCTGTGTTCTAAGCAGGAGGGACAGGTCCGCGGCTGGGCCTCTGGTGTGGCTGGCGTGGCATGGGCGTCAAAGCCAACACTGGCTCCTGTCCTGGGCTCAGAAACATGGCCGGCCTTGTGGCCTCCGAGCAGTCTAGGACGGGCAGGGCCATAAAGGTTCCCCCAGAGCCTGACTAAAGGGTGTGACCCAGGTGAGAGCGCGGGGTGGGCCCCCCCCAATGGGAGTGCCACTCCCTAGGAGGAACCAGGGTCTGGCGGTGGAGAGTGGGAGGCTCAGCGTCTGGACCGTGGGGTGTTTGCAGGGGGCTGGGCGGTGAGCTGGGCTTGCGGGTGGGCCAGGAGGGTGCACCGCGGAGGGGAGGGGACCGCCAGCTCTGCTCTTCAGCCCAGGACTGGTAGGTGGAGTGGAGGATGTTTGGACAAGGAAGCGCTTTGAAGCTTTTCTCTCGTCCTCCCTCCTTGGGACCTGGTCCCCTCCCCTCCATAAAGCCATTAGCTTCTGGTGCCAGTCCTATCTCTGCTCCATCTCCCGGTCCCCGCCAGTGCCTTCACAGCCCTCCAGCCCCGAGGGACGGGAGGATTTATGGGGTGGAGGGCCGGGGCGGGGCGTCCTGCGGGAGCGAGGTCTGTGAGGGGCGCTGGTCGGCGGCGGCTGGAGGCCGGTCATTTCCGAGCGGGCTCTGCATGACAAAGGGGCAGAGCCAGTGGGCGCTTTGATCCGCCCTGCCGGCCCCACACCTGCCAGTCGGTGCCCCTGCACCAGCCGAGGCCTCCGGAGGACCGGAGGAGCACCGAGAGGGGGCGGGAGGGCTGCGTCCCAGCTTCCCCAGCCCAGCTCAGGCCACCTTCCTCTTGGTAGCCCCAGGACAAAAGTATCCTTCAGGCCGAT